CAATCTAATCTGAAGGAAACAGCAGACCCTACGGAATTGAGACAATGTATGAAACACATAGCATGTACTTCAAATGATGCGGAAGGTCACCGAAGGCAAAGGCTATGGAAACACCCAAGACTAAAGGACTGGAGTCTGGAAGCATCACATAATCCTGGATGGAGCCTGAGTGAGAGTAAAGGCGACAGAACTAAACTGGTATCAGGATCACTGTCAGAAAACACAGAAGAGACTAACGGGGGCGGGGGTGTGACTCGTGCTTTTGGGAAGTCAGTGGGGAAAGTCACACTATAGCTTCTGACATGGGTGCCTTCTCAGTCCAGGTGGGCCTCATCCTAGTTCTCCACAACCTTCACTTCTGAATCTACCCTTCCACATTAAAAAGTTCCCTACTCTGAGCACAGAGCAACATTACATTCCCATCTAGAAGGCCAAGAGCTTTCGAGAAGTTTCTATAACAGTCTTAGAATTTTTCCAAATTATATTTTCCAAGAATTTAATTCAAACTTTAATATACACAAAAAACTCCTCCATTTTCAGCATCTGTAGCAAAATTCCTGAATGTGCTTTGTTTTCCATCATCTGCATTCTGCAGGGGGCCATGGCAGGGACCTGGGGGATTGTCCATTCCCGTGGACACGTGAATCTGCTTACTATTTTGTTCCCATTAGAGATGGAATCTAAGTGTAAAACCTCCAAAATAAATTGTTGATGTTTGATCCTTTTGTGAAAATGCCAATTTTCATATGATTTGATAATTTGAAATAACACTTTCAGGCTCACTGTAAGAAAAAAAATGCAACATTATGAATGCATAAAAATAGAACAGAAATGTAAAACTTTTAATCAATGGAGCATTCTAATTAAGATATGGGGTTTACTATTGAATTTTGTGAACGTTAAAACTAACAAAAATGACATACACTTTTTTGGGATTTTTTTTTTTTTTTTGCTTGTTTTGTTTTTTCTTTTTTTTTTTTTTTTTGTTTTTTTTGTTTTTTTTTTTTTTTTTTTTTTTAAGAGGTTAAGATTTATCAAACTATAAAATTCTGGTTGGAAAGAATGTTGATTAACTTTCTTTGTTCCTGAATAATGAAATAAAAGGAGGAGGCCAGGACTACTCCTAAAGTATGGAGAAGATTTTTATTGTACATACAGGGGAGAAAGCAGGCAAAGGGAAGTGTCCAGGCTGAGCATGACCAGCAGATTAAACCAGACCATAAGAGGAGAGAGAGGGAGGGAGAGCAAGAGAGGAGCCACAGACCAAGAGACACAGCCTGGGCCAAAGGACCAGCATCACCAAATGGCTGAGTTATATAGGGATCAAGCTGAGCAAAGGGAAGGGAAAGGGGAAGCCCCACCACCCCCCAAGGGGGAAATCAGGGTAGGGGGCGGGGTGAGAAGTGCTGGGAGGAGCTACAGGTTCTTGGTGAGGCTTGTCATGGGTTTGATTCCTAACAGTCCCTCTGTCCTTTAGGGTTAACTTGCACTCTTTCACAGAGGGAGGGAAAAAAACTTTTGCACACACACACACACACACACAGACACACACAGACACACACAGACACACACACACACACACACACACACACACACACCTCAGTAACACCATTCTATAGCCTACAGACTTACTTTTCAGGAATCCACTATCTTTGAAAGGTATTATATTTTACGTCATTTAAAAAACAACTCACATAAGGAAGCAGGAAGGTTGTGTAGGGGGAAGAATAAAGGAGAGCAAAATAAGAGATAACATCAGAGAGGGAGCCAGAGAGGGAGGTTTAAAGAGAAATCAGGCCCTAGGGAAATGTCCAGAGATCTACAAGATGACACCAACTAACCATCTAAGCAACAGTGGAGAGGCTACCTTAAATGCCCTCCCCTGATAATGAGATTGATGACTAACTTATATACCATCCTAGAGTCTTCATCCAGCAGATGAAGTAGAAGTAGAAGCAGATACCCACAGCTAAACATTGAATTGAACTGGAATCCAGTTGCAGAGAAGGCAGAGTGAAGAGCAAAGGGGTCAAGACCACGCTAGTGAAACCCACAGACACAGCTGACCTGAACAAGAGGGAGCTCTTGGCCCCCAGACTGATCACTGGGAAACCAGCATGGGACTGATCCAGACCCCATAAATGTGGGTGTCAGTGAGGAGACCTCAGAAACGGCCTCTTGTAGTAGATCAGTACTTATCCCTAACGTAGGAATGGACTTTGGGATCCCATTTCACATAGAGGGATACTCCCTCAGCCTAGACAAATGGGGGAGGTCCTATGCCCTATCCCAAAGGATATGACAGACTCTGAAGACCCCCCCCCAAGCCCTCACTCTCCCTGGGGTGCAGAAATGGTATGGGATAGGTAGGGTGTTAGTGGGGGGCAGGGGAGGAGGGGAGGGAGAGGGAATGGGGATTGACATGTAAAACAATCTTGTTCCTAATTTAAATTAAAAAATTTAATAAAATAAAAAAAGATCTGCACAAGATAAAAATTCACATTGGTAGTTCTTATACAACCAACTTAAAACTGAAAGTTAAGACTCTGGAAGACATTGGAGGTAATTTCTCACTTACAAAGCTCTAAAATATGCTGAGAGAATGGGGGAGAAAGCATAGGAAGAAGGAAGAGAAAGGGGGAAAAAAGAGAGAAGAGGAGAGGAGGAGGGGGAACAAAGAATAAAGAAACCCCAGCTTCCAAAACCCACTGTACGCAGAACTGCAAGCAACACTTGTGGAGAGAATAAATGGGTATTTAGCAGGCCCTTGGAAGCCACTTTCTCCAAAGACTCCTCACTTAGGCCCACAAATCAATAGAAGCAAGATGAAAACCCTGATACCCTACATCTGTCTCCTCTGGTCAGAATCCAGTTTAACTCCACCTAGGTGTGTTGATCACTTAAGGAAGGTCTGTTTAAAAACAGTGATGCCTAAAGTATCTGCTTTCTCTTCAAGACTGAAGGCACAAAGATAAATTGTCATTGTCCTAACCCTGTAGTCACTTTTGGATTCCAGGAACTACATAACTGGCAGAACAGGCCAACCTAGAAGAAGGTCATTATCCAAACAGCATGTCCAAGCCCTGGAGTAAGAGTAAATCAGATTGCCCAATTTGAGCGATAACAGTACTAACTACTTCAGACACCTCAAAGGACAGGATCTGCAGCAAAATCAGACCACATCTTGACCAGAGCTGTGTAACTGTCAATGCTGTAGCTCCCAGTCCACTCCTCTATTTAAACCTAAAGCCCATGTCAGGACCCTGGAAATGACCGTAGGGGGTCCCTGGACCCCTTTATCTCTTTCTCTTCCCAATCCGGGCACTCAGGACATTTTTGTTTCTACTTTTTGCCCTTATCTCTTTTCCTGGAATGTCTGGCCAAGCCTAGACTGGTAGGGCTGCAGAAGTTCTCAGTTTTACCCTTAGAAGTTCAGTTGCAAACAGCCAATTCCTACCCAGAACAGACAGGCAATGGCCATCAACAATGTCTCCATTTCCTCAGCTTCAACCTCCACATATAATAGCTGAAAGGGTTGTTAAAACCATAAATGCTGCTTCTGTAGGTTCGAGGCAGGACCTGAATGAGACCCGGTTTCTCGGAAGAGGCCAACACTATCCTTGGAGGCAGAGCCAAGAAGCCCAGAGCTTATGCAGTTCTCTCCCCAAGCTCCTTCTTCCTCTCCTTCCAGTTACCCTTCCACCTAAAAGGATTGGGGGAGGGGGGCTGAAAGTAACTGGCACACATCTATTTCAAGGGTGTCTTCCAAGGGCTCTGCAGAATTACCCTGAAGGACACATCACATAAACAGGGACTCTGAAAAGGCCCCTCCGTGCTCTTAAGGGCATGTGATCATACACTTTTTAAACTTAACGAAAGCAACAAGATTAACTCAATTCTGATTTATCTATACTCACAGAACGAGCCCTTACTAGCAAGTGCATGACAAGAAAGGTTCTGGAACACGACCACTGTCTCTCTCTACCCTTAGGTAGCATCATCATTAATAGGGTGATTCAAAACAGCATCAGGTACAGGCTTAGTAAGTCGCTGCTGCATAGAGCTAGGAGACTCATTTCCTTGGAAATACATCTTAATCTAAACAGATTTGCTCAATTCCCTTGGGGGAAGGAGCAATATCTTTTTCTAATTTCATTATAAGGACCTAAATCCCATTATCATAGTGAAATATGGGGGGGGGGAATGGTTACATAACTTAAGAAGGTACTCATTTTAGTAGACTCAGCTTCTAAAAAATAAAATAAAAGGATATTGACAGTGCTGGGCTGGAGAGATGGCTTCAGTGGTTAAGAGCACAGAGATCATGGGTTCAATTCCCAGCACCCACATAACGGCTCACAATCATCTGTTACAGCAGCCTTAGTGGATCCGATGCCCTCTCCTGGCCTCTGTAGGCCCTGCATACACATGGTGCGCACACACCTGCAGGCAAAACACCCACATACAGAGAGAATAAAAATAAAGGTTAAAAAACACTTTTTAATGTGGACAGTGACTTTGGTCGGTCTTGCTCTTCAAACTTCAATAACCATGAAGAACGTGAAGTGAAAGTTAGCAGACGGTACAAACATCTCTCCTCAACTAGTACTTAAACTTACTGGCATGCATTGTTGCTGTCTGAAGTGTTTTTGTTCTTTTGGCTTTTTGAGGGGCCTGCCACCCAGCTCCCACATAAATCATATACAGAGTCTTAGTGGTACTTACGAATGCCCAGCCTTAGCTTGTTGCTAGTCAGCTTTTCTTAAATTAACCCATCTACCTTCTGCCTCTGTCATGGGGAATGTACTTCTGTGTATGTTCATCTTATTGATTGTTGAATAAAGTACCATTTGGCCAATGAGTCAAAAAGTTAGGCGGGACTAGGAGTCAAGGAGGATTCTGGGAAATGTAGTAAAGAAGTGGTGATCCAGGCAGGAAGTGACATAGCAAGCAGACTCATATATAAACAAGGGCAGGAAGGGAGTGGGCCCCTTCTCGCTTCCCCCAGAGTCCCCATGTGATCCCGGATGAGGACACCAATGGAAGGCATCCTAAATAAGGTAAGTCTTATAAAATATATAGATTTATGGTAATTAAGACTGAGCTTGGCTGGGCGTTAGTGGCCAAGCTAACTTGGCCTTTAACCCCAGCACTCGGGAGGTAGAGGCAGGCAGATCTCTGTGGTCTCCAGAGTGAGTGCCAGGATAGGCTCCAAAGCTACACAGAGAAACCCTGTCTCGAAAAACCAAAAAGACTGAGCTAACATGAGAAATCCTAGTCATTGGCCAAGCAGCATTTGTACCTAATATAAGTCTCTGTGTATTATTTGGGGCCCTAACTCCGAGGGCAGAACTCAGACGGTTGGCGGAAAGCACCCACATGGCGGTAGGGCTCGGGTGGCTTTTGGCGGTAACACCTCTGGGCTTTTACCTTCCTCACTCTGCATATCTTACTTTCCTTCTCACTCCATGGCTGGCTGGGTGGCTGGGTAGCTTGCCCCTGATGTCCTCTCTCGTTCTTTTGCTGCTCTCCTGTTTCCTTATTTCTCCTTCTGTTTATTCTCTCTGCCTGCCAGCCCCACCTATCCTTGCTCTTGCCTCACTATTGGCTGCTCGGCTCTTTATCAGACCACCAGGTGTTTTAGATAGGCACAGTAATACAGCTTCACAGAGTTAAACAAATGCAGCATAAACAAAAGTCACACACACCTTAAAACAATATTCTACCCTACAGTGTTTCCTATAAGTTGCTTTTATTCTTAAAGAAAAATCAAACACATTTTGTATCTCCAAAAGAGACAATGTCTTGTACTTTCCTGTGAAGAATTCTCCAAGACAGAGAGTGTTCCATTTTACATCAGAGCAATGGTTCTCACCTTCCCCAGTGTTGCCACCCTTTAATACAGTTCCTTATGTGGTGGTGACTCCAGCCATAGCATTTCATTGCTCCGTGTCTGTAATTTTGCTGCTGTTATGAACTGTAGTATCTGATATGCAGGGGGTCTCTCTCCCCCACAGGTTGAGAATTGCTGCATTAGAACCATCGTCATCTAAAAAGATTAGGACCATCTTAATCTAAAGAGCCAAATACAACTAACCACGCCCAGTTTGTTTTCCGTTGCTGTGGAAAAACACCAAAAGGAACCAGGGGAGGCAAGGGTTTTATCTGGATTACAGGTTACAGTCCCTCATCCAGGGAAACTGAGGCAGGAACATGGACATGAGAACTAAAGCAGAGACCACAAGGGATGCTACTTTTCCTGCTGCTCACTGGTTTGAGTCCCCTGTTCCTGGTTCAACCTGTTTTCTTCTACAATAAGGGATGACCTGCCCAAGTGACACCACCCACTGCAATCAGCAATCAAGGAAATTCACCACAGATATGTCCTGTGGGCCAACCTGCTGGAGGCCATTCAACTCCCAGGTGTGTCAAAGTTAACAAGACTGCCCAGCACACTCCCTGACACACACTACTGTCTTGTTGACCATCCTAGGAAGGGATGGCTATTCCTTTATGTTCTTCTTCCTCACTGATTTCCACCCTCTCCTAGTAGTCTTCTGTCTATTATTTACTCAGGAGCCCAGGTGGGCCCTGAACTCATAATCTCCCTCCCTCAGCTTCTGAGTGAACTGCTAGAATTATAGGTGTGTGCCAACACATGAGCAGGCTCCCCATACTTTCCTCCTCCCATCAGATGGCTGTTGTTACTGTAGTTCTAGGGATTGAATTCAGGACTTTGTGCATCCTAGGCAAGTGCTCTGCTACCCAACTACAGCCCCAGCTCCATTGGGATGGCTGGCTTGCCAGCCCCTGACCACCAGACCAAAGCCACAGTAGGTTTTTACAAAACCAATCAGAGGTTCCAGGCTGAAGACCACTCACCTTAATGAGGGGTAGGCTACAGACACTCTGCTGCCTTATGGATCAGACCCCAGGAAAACACCAAAGGCCTAGGACTAAAACAGGACCCACAAATGAGCATCGGGCAGAGGCGACTGTGACAGCCCAAGCTGTGAGTTATCAAAGAGGCAAATGCAGATACAATCCCATTTGTCACGCTGTCTGGGTGAGGGTGCAGGCCATCATTGCCTGTACTTTATTCCATTCTAGTCCCTTTAACTTCTTTCAGTAAGCCCCCACTTCATAATATATGTGTGATAGTCATAAAGACACAGTCTCAGAATATGAATTTTCAGTTGAAGAATTTTCCCTGAAGAATTTTTCTCTACATCAAGATGTCTCTAATAGACACACTTTCTATACTTGCTGTGTACCACAAAAAGCCAGGTGTTACATACACACACACACACACAATTCTCTGGGAAGCAAGAGGCACAAAGAGCAAAGTCCTCGGGAGCCAAGGAACAACATAATGATGTCTCTAAATTCTCTTTTAACTGTCTGTTCTGGACAAGGACTGGAAAAGTCAGCAACCCGGGGGGCATGAGCAGGTGCACACAAAAAAGCAACAACAACAACAAAAAGTACACAGGGCTGGTGAGATGGCTCAGCAGTTAACACAGAAGACCAGAGTTCAGTGCCCAGCATCTATGTCAGGTGGCTCACAACCACCTATAACTCCAGCTCCAAGGAATCTGATACAGGTGTGATGGATGGATGGAAGGAAGGAAGGAAGGAAGGAAGGAAGGAAGGAAGGAAGGAAGACGTTGGGCTCACTACAGCCTAAGGACCATGGATGAGGTAACCAAGCCATACATAAAGCTTCAAGATAAATACTATTCTACTCTAGTCACACACATACACACACACACACACACACACACACACACACACACACACCTCAAGAAAAACCCTGATCCCATCCCCACCATGTCAGCCACAGCCAAGTCTAAACCTCCACTCTTTCCAACTGTCACAAGGTCCTGGCCACGTGAACACAATGGATGTATTTTATACTGAGTGTCTAGGGCTTTAACCCTACTCCAGCAGTAAGATCTCCCCAGTAGGGGTCACCTTCACTCCAGCAGTAATATCCCCAATGAGGGGTCAATGGAGACCACACAGAAGGACAACAGACCACTTCTTCCAGTCAGGGAGTGTCCACAGAGACCTTCTGGAGAAGTGCCCACTCATCTGTACACCAGACCCTCCCTGCTTGGTATCAAAAGTCATGTGGGGATCCTAGACTTCACACCCACCCCAACCCTCCCTGGCAATAACGACCCTGGGTACAGCTCTCAGAAACCCCTTCCGTCTCATTCATCAGGGGCTGGAGCTACACCTTAGTGTTTGGTTTCAAATCGGGCACAATTGGCTAAGCAAGGTGCTTATTAAAATATCAAGGCGGACTCTGGCCACCAGGTTCTCCCAGCATCCCTCAGTCCATATCTGCTTCAAGATCCTCCTGGCTGTCAAACTCCACCCAGTACCCTAATCTTCCCCAGCCCAAGGACCAGGCTGGGCTGCCCCTCCCGAAGCAACTCTTTTCCTATATAATCTAGCCATCTTGGCTACTTGGGTCCTTTTTCACCCTTGGCCTCTTGGTCCCTTGGCCCTCCCTCCTCCCATCACAAGCCGCCTGAGTTCCGCCCACCGCATTAGGGCCCCAAATAACACACAGAGACTTACATTAGGTACAATGCTGGTGGCCAAGGACTAGGATTTCTTATCTGCTATCTCTGTCTTAAGTATCAACCATAATTATTAGTCTATATATTACATTTTGAGAGTCACTTGTCCAGAAAACTGATGTAGCTTCCCTTGGCTGGCACTTTAAAATCCTCATGCATTTGCATCCTATTAAGCAAGAGTGACCAGTCCCCCTCGTGTTTATGTGTGCTTTCCCACTAAGGCTGAAGACGACAAGGCACTTTTATCCAGACATTCATTGTCCAGTGGGCCCACAGATGGACAATTACTCCTATCTCCAACATCTAATTGGCAGCCTTTCTGAAGTAGCACCAAAAAGACAGTTAGCTAATGTTCTATAATAACCCAATGTTCTCAATTTAGTCTCTCCTAATATGTCAGCCATGAATAATTTCCTTTCAGAGTTAAGAATACATCCAGAGTGGATTCCAGACAACCTCGAGCACAGCACAAGCCTAAACAGCTTTCCAACCTGGAAAAATTCGATTAGGAGACTGTTTTAGGAAATGGCTGCCAGCCAACTAAGCTGAAGAGAAAATAATGCCATTCCCAGTCCAAGGGACCCAACTGTCAACTTTAATACATAAACAAGACAGGCTGCCGGCCAACTTGGCAGAGGGGAGGTCCGTACTCCAGCCCCTCTTTAAGGCTTGCTTTAAAATTAGGTCCTTATTTATAATGCCTAATGACCGCTTTCACTTAAGAGCAGCAGCGTGGCAAAAGCACTGCCGAGCCATGATTTCATGTGCAGGTGTTTCAGAGCTTGAGGAATCAATCCTGAGGGAAGGCTGCACATCATAGCACCTGATGAGACAGGGTGCCTGACTTCTGGCATAAAGTCGTGAGGCAGCCCACAAATCCTCTCCCCAAGCAAGTAACTGCAGAGCTGCTTAAGAGTCAAAAACAGCCATTTCAGTAACTCTGGAAATAAACCAGAGACAGTCAACAGACTGACAAGTGTTTATTCATAAAAAAAAAAAAAAAAAAAAAAAAAAAAAAGGCCTGGATTTGGGTTCTAAAGAACAGCACAAATTCTCACTTTCTTGCCAGGAGCTGCTCCAGTCCTTCCCCAGTTCTGTCCTATCAGACGGTCAGCAAAGGGTGGGGCAGGCCTTGGAAACCAACTTCCCTGATCACACAAAGGGCCAACTGACCCTGGATATGGCCAGTGCACTCAGCAATCTATACAGCTGGATAAAGACTTGCCCCAGGCTACTGTTCTATTTGGAGTGTGCAATGAACTGGCAGATCATCCAGCTACTCAACAGAGTCCCAGGAAGATGCCCTTGGCCCTGTGAGGCTTAAAATGTTCTTTACAAATCCCAGGTTGGCTGGAGGCTATAAGCTTGCACAGCAAGACACCAGAGCCAGTCTAAGCTGCTCACACATACCTGGCCAATAGAACCTGTGCACACAGAGAAGAATAAAAGAAGCAGCCAGAGGAAATCCATGCTGGGACAGATGGGAAAACAGCCCAGAGTACGGCCGTCCACTTGGCTTCACAGCTGAGAATGTCTTACAGTGAAGACAACTGTCTTCACCCAGTATGGAGCTGAACCCTACACTATGTGGACACCAGCATGGGTAAAACCCCTCCAGGAAGGCATAAGCTTAACTAGAAAGGCAAACTAAACCCCAGCTGCAGAGAAACCACAGTGGGCAGGGGTTCAGTCCAATCCAGGTACTAAAATGAGCTAACAAAACAACCAGCACCAGCACCTTCAGGGATCCTGGCTGCATCAATGTATATTGTAGTCAATAACATTCATTAGATTAGTAGAGGAAAAAAAAAAAGTGTGACCTGAGTCAGCAAAACAGCTCTGTTGGTAAAGCACTTGCTGCTAAGCCTGACAATCTGAGTTCGATTCCCGAGACTTACACGGTGGAAAGAAAGGTGTTCTCTGAACTTCACAGGCATGCCTTGGCATGTGCACACACCCCAAATGAAGAAATGTGAGAACGATAAAATAAAATTTCAGTGTAAACTAACCTGGGGCTGGAGCAGTAAGAAGCAATCAATAGAAATGGTTTCCGAGGGCTACAAGTTTTTGGATTTAGTGAACAAAGATTCAAAACAGCTACTCTGGCCAGGCAGTGGTGGTGCACGCCTTTAATCCCAGGTGGATTTCTATGAGTTCGAGGCCAGCCTGGTCTAGAGCGAGTGACAGGATAGGCTCCAAAGCTACACAGAGAAACCCTGTCTCGAAAAACAAAAAAACAGCTACTCTAAATATGCTTCAAAAACTAAACAAAACTATGTTTAAAGAATGAAAGGCAAGTGCAACAAGGCTGACTCAAAAGAGAGGAGAAATGAAGAGGAAGAAAAAAATGAGAAAAAATGGAAAACTCACTACAGATGATCAACCACAGATTTCAGACAGCAGACAGACAGCGGAGCCAATGACACAGATCAGCCAGTAAAAACCAACCAACCAACCTAAAGAGCAGGAGGGAAAACAGATCAAAGGAACTGAACGCTGAACTGAACCCAATGTGCGCTAGCACCAACTGTGGCCAGAAGAGAAATGATGGCAGAAAGGGAGGGGGTGAGGGAAGGGGAGGTGGAGGAAAGGTAGGACAGAGAGAGGAAATAAACACATGAATTTTTTTAAAGCAACAGAACTCTACAAGGTAGGAACACAAGGACATTTCCTTAACCTAATAAAAAAAGAAAATGCATTACAAAAGCCCTGTGGTTGACCCCACATCTTCACTAAGGTCAGAACCATTTAACACTATATTAGAGGTCCTCGATAGTGTAATAAAAAAAAAAAAAAAAAGGAAGGCAGAGAGGGAGGGAAGAAGAGAGGAGGAGGAAGGAAGGAAGGAAGGAAGGAAGGCTACAGATTGTGAAGGAAGACAAGTTTTCTTTGCTGGTGCCCTGTTTATGTAGAAAATCCCAAAGAAAAGAGAGCAGCAAGATCTCCAGGAACTAATACACAATTTGGACAAGGCTGCGGGATATAGGTGAATATATAAGTGACTACACCGACTTAGGGGAGTTGTGCAGCTGGGGCAACTGCATTCTTGTGTAACAGCAATAACAACCAGACTTTTTAAAAGATGGTATTGTAAGCAGATGCAGAAACCCACAACTAACCAATGAGCCAAGCTCCTGGAGTACGATACGAAGTGAGGGAGGAGTGATAATATGAACAAAGGAGTCAAGACCATGATGGGAAAATCCACAGAATCAGCTGGCTGAGCTCGTGAGAGATCACTGACTCAGGTCTGACAAATGGGGAACCTACATAAGACCCAACTAGACTCCCTTAATGTAGGTGACAATGGTGAGACTGGGACAATATATGAGGCCACTGGCAGATGGTTCAAGATCTAACTCTAATGCACAAACTGACTTAGTGGAGCCCATTCTATATAAAGAGATACCATACCCAGCCTAGACACAAGGGTGTGAGGGGAGAGAGGTGCCTTGGACCTGCCTCAACGAGATGATGAGACAGACTTAGTAAACTTCCTAGGGGAGGCCTTACCCTCTCCATGAAGCAGATGGGAGGAAGGGGGAGTGGAGGGCTTGGGAGGGAAGAAGGGAGGAGGAACTGGGGATTGGAATGTAAAAAAATAAATTAAAATGAACAAAAAGAAAAAAGAAGATGATAGTGTTTACATTAACACACCCCCCCCAAAAAAAAAAACAGATATAAACCTAACAGGTATGTATGGAAAACTTCAAATTTATGCTAACAAAGATGTAAATAATCTGGCATTTCATGGTTCTTCCCAACTAACTCTGTACAAAAATATTAAGAAAACCAAAAATGAGTACTTTGTAACTATCTATACACACACACACAGAGATTGCTAGATAGATAATAGAGAGAGAGATGGGTGATGAATATAGATGAGACAGATAATAGAGAAAGAGATGGATGGTAGAGAGATACAGATTAGATAGATTAGATTAGATAGATGATAGATTTTTAAAAGCATTCAACAAACAGCCAACAAGAGTTAAGCTTTCACTGATATCCTATCTAGAACTGTTACACTTACCAGTGGTGCCAGAAGAAAACAAAAAAAGTTGGGGCCATTGAGAACAATAGGAGAAAGAGAGCCGAGAGGTACCATGCACGAACCCTGGGGGAATCTCAATAGAAACGTGACAAAATTTCTACAGAGTCCACAGATCTGCTCTCCATTTTAACAGGGCACAGGTGTCACACAAACAGGGGCAGCCAGGCATCATGGGAACGCTGAGACCTTTAAGGCTGAACCTGGCAAACAGGTAAAACGAGAGGGCCAGGGAACAAATGTTCTAGACATGGTTACATCAAAAGCAAAGGTGGCCTGATGGTGGTGGCGCACGCCTTTAATCCCAGCACTCGAGAGGCAGAGGCAGGCAGATATCTGAGTTGGAGGCCAGCCTGGTCTACAGAGAGAATTCCAGGACTGGCTCCAAAGCTACACAGAGAAACCCTGTCTCGAAAACACAAAACAACAATAACAAAAATAGCAAAGGTGGCCATGACATGGGGTTGGTATTAGATACTCAAGGGTGCTGAGAACTGAGAAGATGAAGATGGGCTCTGCGAGCATTGAGATTGGGAAACCGGGCGGAAGAACAACTGCTCGGCAGCACTCCTCGAAACAGCACTTCTGAGGACCTCGCTCCTGCCTTCGGTTTCCTAGCTTTCCTAACTTGTTAGGCTTCCCTTTCTAGTATAGTGTGCTCAGTCCTACCTGCCATTCGGCCACTTCAACCCCTCCCCCCCCTCCCCGTTTCACCAGTCTTCCAGCATGGGCCTGCCTTCTCAGAGGCTCTGCTTCCAAATATCCCTTCCGCCCACCTCAGTCTCCATCCAACACATTAGCGTGCTTTACTGTCAGTACCCATTTCTACCTGAGAGAACAACTCAGTCTCTTTAGCTCCTCAGCTGTTATTGTGGAAGCCCCTCGTCATCGCCATCTCCACGAGCAGGCTCTGTGACTATAAGGATATCACCTATCTCACTCCACCATCAGGACCCAGTGTCCTAGCACCTAGCACTCTCCGAGTAAAAGCTAGATGAGTAGGGTGAATTAACCAAGCTGGAGAGAGAAAAGGAATGTCAAGAAAAACACCTTACAAATCACGGTGCACCATGCCAACAAACCACTAATGTCCTGTAAGTAAATTTTCCCCCAGACCTGAGCCATTATCACAGTAGTTTCATTAGAGTCATTGTTCAATTACTACACTACAGTTTAGTGGAGTAGCTTCTGGAGACCACAGATGTCACAGTAGCAGCCGAGTTATGGGCAGAGGTGGTGGTGGTGGTGGCAGAGACACAGTTCACACACATACAGAAAGACACTATATCCATAAGGGAGGTGACAGAGGGTCTTTTGCATTCCCACAAGAGCTTGACTTTTAACCCCACTTTCACTTGAGAAAAGTCAGGCTACCTTGATCCCATCAGGGCAGAGAGAGCAGAGTTCATTCTCCTTGAGAAGATCATATAATGCTCAACAAAGCCTGACCTCAGTGCATCAGCTCCCATGCTCTCACCATGGGAAACACTCTCCTGGCATGGGCTTTCAAGGAACAGGGAAGCCCTCCCCAGCCCTGGCCACACTCAGATAAAGTTTTCCATTCAAATAAAGTTGGAGCCTGTGCTTGCTGGGGTTTTGCACTCAGAACCCTTACTGGCCCTGGAAGGTGAGAAGGTTTCTCTTCAGCAATGCTGATCTCTGTAACAATTAACAAAACTGTCTTGTCTTGGCATTCCCTTGTCCAAACAAATTTATTCCTTGAACTCAACCTCTGGGGACATATGCAGAATGCAGTCAATTTTTTTTTTTCCCCCCAGTTTTTCGAGACAGGGTTTCTCTGTGGCTTTGGAGGCTGTCCTGGAACTAGCTCTTGTAGACCAGGCCTCTGCCTCTACCTGCCTCTGCCTCCCGAGTGCTAGGATTAAAGGCATATGCCACCACCACCCGGCACAGTCAAATTCTTGATCAAAAGAACACACAAGTAGCCCCATCCTGCTTCCTGTTAAGAGTCCTTGTTCTCTGAAGCCACATGAACCAAGCCTCAACTATCATCATTTCTCCCAGCATTCTCCTCTTTCGAGATCCCACAGTAAGGAACCCATAATCCCACCATAAACTTTGCTAACAGCATTCAAAGGCTTTTATAGCCCTAAGTTTTTAACTTTCACAGTATTCCCTCAAACTATTCCCAACATTCTTTCTTCAAACTATTCCCAAGGGCCCAAGAATCACAGCAATGGCCCCATATCTCAAGTGCAACTTAGCTGAACTCTTTCTGTTGCTGCGATTAAAAAAGCAAATACTCTAACAAAAGCAACTTAAGGGAGAAAGGGTTCCTTTCTGGTTCTCGGTTCAAGGGTGCAGTTCAACAGCAGGAGCTGGAAGTACGACATCATATTATACCCACAATTAGGAAGCAAAGAAGGCAAGCTGCTAATCAGTTCCCTCTCTCCACTCACACACTCCATCCAGCATCCCAGCCGGGGAACAGTACCACCACCCACATGGTTCTTCCTACATCAGGTAACACCATCGAGATAAATCCCCCACAGGAATACCTAGAGGCCCATCTCCTGAGCGACTCTGGAATCTGTCAGGTTGATCCCATTGTAGAGGAAATAATATCCACTAAAAGTTATCTATAGTCAGGTGAAGGGCATGAACTAACAAAAACCCACTAACAACACTATATGCCAGACACAGCTAAGGGTATCTAAAATGTGAAAATGGCAAATACAATATGGGTGCTAAGTAGACATACGAAAAAAAGGAATGCAGGGTCTGATATTGGGTCTTAAGTGTCACTACCACTCACAGTCAGAAAGCCCAGGTCCGCTCTCTCTGATCTTCTCTATGACTTAGTATGAACAGTGAACAGTATGACAGAGGCTCAAGATGCCACACATTTCATGACATTCCTGACACTCAACGTGAGCCCCTCTGATAAACTGGACAAAGTTACAGATTCCCCAACACACAGACACATACTCCATGGCCTTCGAAGGTTCTGTACCCCCTGGGTACAGACAAGCTTGTAAGCCAAGCCCATAGCATCTCCCCTGGGATGAGATACCAAAGGTGCTTCCGCATGACAATAGGCTTGTGATAAGAGGGAACTTACAAGATTAGTGAGGTTTTCTGCATTTGACAAGCAGATCCCTGGAGTTTGCTGGCCAGTCTAGCCCAGCCGATGGGCTAGAGGTTGCATCAGAGACCCTGTTCTCAAGTAATAAGGCAGAGGCTAGAGAGATGGCTCAGCAGCTGGAAGCACAGACTGTCCTTCTAGAAGAACCAAGTTCAGTTGCTGGAACAAGTCAGGTGGTTCATACCTGCCTGTAGTTCCAGCTCTAGGGAATCCAACGCCCTCTTCTGGCCCCCATGGGCACTGCACTTGTGTGCACATACCCAAACGTTGGCACCCATTCATACACACAATTAAAGTTATATAAGAAATAGGAGCGAACAAAGGTAGAAGAAAACAATTGATACTGGCCTCTGATCTCAACAAGAATGCAAAAATGTTCCCCCCCCATACACACACGTACAGACACACTGATAAGAAAAAACAGAAGGTTTGAGGTCTACCTGTAGGATTAAAGAGGAAAATTCAAACTATGAAGTGTCAACAGAAACACGAACTCTTACACACAAACCCAAAGTTCCCCAGCTTAACTCCCTCCAAAGGAAAGAACATCACAAAGGGGAAGTCAAGCCCAGCCATCTAGCTGTGGCCTGGGACAATTCCTGCAACATTCAACTCTTCTTTGTATACAAATTTTCTTAGGGG